ACTCAGAGAGTTCCATGTGCCCAATCCCCTACCTGTCCATTCTGCCCTTAGAGGCTGTATCTCATAAACCTACATGTGGGACACAGCCATACCTGCACGTATAAAGCACCCCCCCAGGTGGCATCACCATCCTGACCTGTGTACAGCCAAGCTTTCCCAGCACATTCATGCATTTACACACCCACATGCCAAAGTCACGACCCGCCTGTGTACTGTGGACATTCTTTACACTCAGACACATTTTTCAGAAGAGCCGTGCAAAGAGAATTTTTTTGGCAAGTGACGTCATGATTCTTTTATTATTAAAAAAATTTGAACATACAGATGAGTAAAAGAATGGGATATACCTATCACCTAGATGTAATAATTATTAACATTTTGCCATATTTATTTCAATTTTTTGCTGAATTACATTACGGAGATCACAGCATTTCATCTCAAAACATTTTAGTGCATATCCCTTTAAAATAAGTATATTTCCTTACACTACCACAATGCTCTTATAATTTCTAACAGAATTCCTCAACATCATCCCCATCTTCTCCAACGATCTATATTCAACTTTCTCCAACCAGCGTATGAAATGTCTTCTACGATGGTGTGTTCAAACACGCAATACGTTCGGTTGTTCTATCCCTTAAGTCTCTGTTTTCCTAATGGCATTGAGGTTTGTCAGATGGCTGCCTAGTGGTGGCATTTGACTTGTGCTCCTCTTCCCTGCTTTGCCTGCAAACTGCAAGTACGGACCAAAGTCTTGATTCAGGTTAAACACTCTGGGCACCAGCGTTCCACAGGTGATGCTGCGTGCTTTGCAAGGCACCTGATGGCGAGGCTAGGTGTCTGATTACCCCACAGTGCATGCTGCTGTGCATTCAGGTTATAAAGTTGTAGATTCTCCCTTGTGCCTGACCAGTGATCCGTAGAGGTGACATTCGGCCTCGAAGAGACACCATGTGTTGAATGCTTTAGGAAAGCTTGATGCCTGAAGCCTGGAATCCTTTTGCAAAGAAATGACCATCCTGTGATTTCTGATTTTCTGTCTCTGGGCCTCAGTTTCCATGTCTGGAAAAATGGGCGGCTGGGTCCTTTCCACCTCTGGCATACTCCAGGGGTATGGGACTGATTTGTGCAGCTGGTTTCCCCCGAGCAAGGCCCACCTGAGTGACGATCCCTTCCCGCCCTGCCCCTGCCAGGCAATGACACCAACACCTGCCTCTGTCTCAATGCCACGGTGTGCGAGGTCTTCCAGAAGGGCTACCTGATGCTCTACCCCTTCAGCACCGAGTACTGCCTCATCTGCTGCGCTGTGCTCTTTGTCATGTGGAAGAACGTGGGCCGCCGCCTGGCACCCCACACAGGCGCCCACCCTGACACCCCTCCCTTCCACCTGCACGGGGCCATCTTTGGGCCACTGCTGGGCCTGCTGGTACTGGTGGCAGGCGTGTGTGTCTTCGTGCTCTTCCAGATCGAAGCCAGTGGCCCCACCATCGCACGCCAGTACTTCACCCTCTACTATGCCTTCTACATAGCCGTGCTGCCCACCATGAGCCTGGCAGGCCTGGCGGGCACGGCCATCCACGGGCTGGAGGAACGAGAGCTGGACACGCTCAAGAACCCCACCCGCAGCCTGGACGTGGTGCTGCTGATGGGCGCCGCGCTGGGCCAGATGGGCATCGCCTACTTTTCCATCGTGGCCATAGTGGCCACTCGCCCCCATGAGCTGCTCGACCGCCTCATCCTGGCCTACTCGCTGCTGCTTATCCTGCAGCACATCGTTCAGAACCTCTTCATCATCGAGGGCCTGCACCGGCGTCCGCTCTGGGAGACGGCGCCCGAGGGCCTGGCCGGGAAGCCGGAGGCTGAGCCACCCCGCCGGGGCTCCCTGCTGGAGCTGGGCCAGGACCTGCGGCGGGCCTCGCTGGCCTACATCCACTCCTACAGCCACCTCAACTGGAAGAGGCGGGCACTCAAGGAGATCTCGCTCTTCCTCATCCTCTGCAACATCACGGTGAGTGGAGAGGAGCTGGGGGCGGGGCGTGGGGGCGGGGCTGGCCAGGCGCATTCATGGAGCGTTGACCATCCCAAGGGCAAATGACCTGTCCCTTGTATTGTCAAGGACAACTGCCTCTTTCCAACTAGCCCCATGCTGCTTGAGAGCAGTGTCCCCCCAGCATCCTGCAAGGTGCCTGGCGTGAGTGCATGTGCCAAACATGTAAGACTTCCACCCTCAGCAAGTTCACTCTCTAGTTGGAGAGACACCGGGGACACCAAATAATTGATCATCCACTGAATTTGGCCGAAGGAAGAGATCATTAAGTGCCTGGTTTTCTAAAAACTCTCTAGCGGGAGGAGTTGACGATGACTGCTGGGTGTGTGGCAGCTGAGGTCACACGTCCGCCTCTCCATGCTGTCCCTCAGCAGCTCACTGATTCGGCACGCTAACCCCGTGCAGCAGTGCCCGTTAGGTGCCATCACTGCCTCTGTTTGGCAGATGGGGAAACTGAGGCTTAGGTGGTCCCACAGCCCGTCAGCGGCAGTGCCAGGACAACTAGGGCGGTCTGAGGGCGTGTTTGAACACCACAACCCAGGTGCGTCGCACTGGAAACACCTCAAGTGGTGAAGCCCCCGCCACAGGCGGACCACATGCCATAACCTGGCCCGAAAGTGCAGTAGGAGCTCAGAAAAGGCAGTGCGGGCCCAAGGGGCCAAGGAAGGTCTCATGAAGGTTGAGTCTGGGTCTTGAGAAAGCGGCAGAATTTGGACAGAAGACAGGGCCCGGCGGAGGGAGCAGAGAGAGTCAAGAAGGTGGTTGAGGTCAGGGCAGAGGGGAACCCAGCTTGATAGAGCGGGCTGGGCCATGGGTGGTGGCAGTAGAGCCTCATGGTCCACCTGGAGTTCAGGCTGGCAAGCTGGTGAGGTGGCTGTGATATGGGGTGGGGGGGAATGTAGCTGGGGGGTGGTGGGGGCAGCTGGCTTTGAAAGCCCAGGGCTGAGGGGAGATTAGGGTGAGGGTCTGCCCCCCCCCTCCGAGAGGAGTCCCCCGGGGTACGGAGAGCCCTCTCCCCCACTCATTCCCCTCCTCTCCTCCCCAGCTGTGGATGATGCCCGCATTTGGCATACACCCGGAGTTTGAGAACGGGCTGGAACAGGACTTCTATGGCTACCGGACGTGGTTCACCATCGTCAACTTCGGCCTGCCTCTGGGGGTTTTCTACCGCATGCACTCCGTGGGGGGGCTGGTGGAGGTCTACTTGGAAGCCTGAGGCTGCCCAAAGACCAACCCCCAGCAGAACTCCAAAATGCCAAGGCTGGGGAGAAGGTAGCCCAGAGCCTCTGAGCAGGGGCGCCTAGACCAGACTGGGTTTCCCGTAGCCTCCCCCTCCCCAGATCCTCACTGAGGTGGGGGGCAGCGTCTGCAACCCAAGACCAAGGGCAGGGCCTGGACACTGAGCTTCTGATGCCCATGCCTGGGACGTGCCTGCCCCTGCTCACCACCACAATCAGTACAGCCCAGGGTACACCCCGGGAAGCCTGAGTCGAGGAGGGGTGCTGCCACCAGCCCGGCCGGCCTCAGGGGTCTGCCTCCTTCTGTGGGAGGGCACTTGGTCAGAGCTCAGCCCAGGACATCCCAGAAGCTTGCAGCCCCGAAGGCAGCCCTGGCCCTCCCTCCCCACGTACTCTGTCTCCTAATGAGCTCATTAATTAGCTACCAGGCAGGGTTCAACAGCTCTCTCCTGCTGCCATAAACCCTGTTTGTTTGATCGATTACATTCAGGCTTCGTGACATTTGTTCCCAGGGACAGAGCTGTCACTCCAAGTATGGTGGGAAGGGACAGTCCTCCTGGTGAGGGCTGGGACAGTCTGTTTCTGAGCCAGGAGGGGTCTAAAACAGTTCTTCCCTTGTCTGATTCATGGGAGGAGGTGAGGAGAGGGGCTGGGGCTCTCACACGCCCCCACCCCTCACTAGCACGATTCTCTCTGGAACAGAGCCCCAGGTGACTTTCTGCAGCTGGCTTAGCACAGGGACTGCAGCCTCTGGCTGTCTAGTCTCCATGCCTGCTGTACCCTTGGAGCTATCGGGTAGAGAGGGCAGGGACTGACAGCCCATCCATCTCCCTGAGCCCAGTGCAAACAGTGGGCTGTGCCCCGGGTGAGGACCCGGGTGCGGCTCAGGCGGGGCAGCCCAGTCTTCGCATGCCTCTGGGCCCCTCCCCATGAAGCTGGGCACTGGCAAGCCCCAGGGACCCCCAGTACTGTTTCGGTGGCTTCCTGGGGCCAGCAGAGCCCCCTCAGGGGCCTTCTAGAAGGCTGGGAGGCCAGCCTCTCTCCTCTCCTGCATGGGCTCTTTCTCTGGATGGCCATAGCCCAGGGGGCCACACCCTGGGTGAGAGAGTACAATCCTCCATTTTCCCACCCAAGAAAATGACAAGTGCTGGTTCCTGGGCCAATGCTGAGGGCCCTCTGAGGACTGATTCTGGGAAGCAGAGGCCCCAGCTCCCCTGAAGACAAGAGCCATGACCCCAGCCCCTCCCCTCCAAGCACAAAAGAGCCAGGACGTGGAGAGGGTGGTTTATTGTGTAAAGAGGCTGATTGTACAGAGCAAAGATTGTAAGGACACAGGTAGGGTGAGGGAGACCCAGAGGCCAGAGCTGGAGGATGGAGGGGGGCCCCCTGCCCCCTCTGGCCCCCAGTCATCCAGGCAGCGAGGATTGGACAGCTCCCTCCCCACTCTTCTTACCCCTCCCCAATACTGGATAACAGGGAGTCAGGCTATATCCATTGACCAGGAAGAACACAGCAGGAGACCCTCAACACCCGGCCCCAAACCCCTAAAATGCATGAGGTCTCCCAGTCTGGCTTCTGCAGTCTACCAGCCCCCCAGTCTCCTTCTCAAGCAGCCTGGCCACCCCCCTTCCTCCTTCGGGCCCTGGCAGCAAGCTGGGCCTGGACGAGGTGGTTTCAGGCTAGGAGGCATGGAAGGCCCCCCCCCGCCCCGCCCCTGCCCAGGTGCCTCAAGGGACAGCCCACAGCTCCCTTGTTGGGCAAGGCATGAGGGCTCAGTGACCTGGTGTCCTCTGGGGATGATAGGCAGCAGAGAAACGGGTCTTGAGGGAGAGCCAGAGTGAGGTGGGGGCTCTGGCCAGGGCCTGCAGTGCTGGAGACGGGAGGCTCCTGTGAGTCCAGCCCTCAGGGGGGGTGATCAGTACCTGGCCCCATCATCCCAGCCACCAGGGGCCTTTAGGGCCTGCCACCCAGGACTCAGCCCCTCTGCCAGCCCCGGTTGGTTGTGGTAATTTAAAGCCTAGAGCAGTGGGTCAGGGGAGCATCAGGGGACCAGGACCCCCACCCTTCCCGGTCCCATCCCCCAGTAGGCTTCCATCCTCACACCCGCTGGATCTCAAACAGCTTCACATCCGTGTCGTACCAGACAGGTGGGTCCACATTCCTGTGGAGGGAGTGGGCTGTCATGGGAGTGCTGGGAGACCTTGCAGAAAAGACTGGGGAGGAGCTAGAAGGTTATCCAACCCAAACCCCTTCCACCCTGATGTCCCACCCCAAGCAGTGGGTGTCTACCCTCTAGACAAGACCATCCTGGCTGACGATGTTGACATGAACCCCACTACCACGGTGGGACCCAGAGCTGAGGCCCCCCTGGGCAAACCCTCAGGGGAACGCCACACCCACCTCAGATAGATGACCCCCCACATGTAGGTGCGGAACCACATCGCCGTGCCCGAGTTGGCCTGGTACTTGCGGATCAGGATGGGGTGGGGCACAGGGAGCAGCCCCACCAGGGTGCCATGCTGCAGGAACCTCAGGATCTCTGACTCATCTGTCAGGCCCCTGCCAGGAAGAGGGGGTGGTTTCCCATGTGCTCACATGGGAAAATCCACTCTGAAAGTCAAGGGGAGCATGGGCCCCATGCTCCCAGCCACATCCCACCCAAGCCAGGGCTTGCCCCGCCTCAGAGCCCACCTGCCACTCCTGCCCGCCACCTCCATCCCCCCACCCCCGGGCTCACTTGTCAATGCAGATCTTTTCCACCTGGGGAACCAGCACTTGGAGCAGCCTCATGATGGTCTGCAGCGGCAGCTTTGACTTCCAAGAGAGAACCTGAGGGAGAGACCGGGGTTCCTGGGGCTGGGAAAGCAGCCCCCACGGGCAATAGGATAGGCCTGACCCCTGACCCAGAACCACAGGCTTCCCAAGGCAGGAAGTGTCCCCGCTCACCACAGCAAGGGCCTGGCACAGGGCAGTGCCCACGAACAGTAACTGTTATTCATGGTAAAAGCCTCTCGCTGAGCATACACTACGCGCCAAAAACTATTCCCTTGGAGCCTCACAATGGCTTGATCAAGTAGGATGTTTATCCCAAGGGAAGTGCAATCAGTAGTGATCACAAGACACACAGAAGGGAGTGGACAAGCGACTTGGGGAAAGAAGCTGGAAAGAAAAGCTTAGTAAGAAAGCTAGCACTGTGGGGTGGCTGAAGCTCAACCCTGCAGCAGAACTCTGGGACAGTGTAGACAGGGGAAGCCACCGGCCCAGAGCGGCCAAGGTCACCCAGCCGGAAGGAGTGACCCAGAGCCTGGTTCCCAGGCTGGTTTTTGGATTTGGACACATTCCCATCCAAGCCTTAACTGAGCTGTTCCTACGCCAGGCGCCCCTGTCTGCACCCACTCAGAGCCATCTGCCCAAACCCTCACCCATTCCGACGTTGGGTTCCACTGCCCACTGGCTGACACGCTGGACAGTCGCCGCTGCTCCCGCCACGCCTGGTCGGGCTCCTGGTCCCAGAGAAGGGATGGGAGTGAGGGGTGGAAGGAGTGGGCACAGAGTGGGGGTGGAGGGCAGAGGAGCAGCCCTTCTTCCCAGTCCCTCCCATAGTCTGGAATCCAGGAGGCAATGAGGCCTCTCTCCTGGCTCATGTTGGTGGGGGGCTCACTCCCAACAGAGGGGACAGCCCGGCCCAGCACCCTTTGCCCTGGGCCCCAGGCCCTGCCCAACACAGCCCAGCCCGATGACAGGTTTAGGGCCAGGGGCTGACTGGGCTGGTCGGGTAAAGGCCAGCTCAGCTGAGATAAGGCTGATGGATGAGGAGTCTGAAGGCCAAGGGCTTAAGCCTGGAACTAGTAAACAAGGGAGAGGTCTGTGAAAGCAGCCCCCTGGATGTCCTGGGCACAGGGTTCCTGCCCTCTGCTGCAGGTGACCCTAGCTGTGCTGGCCCAGCCCAACCACAGAGGCCAGGGAGAAAGGGAAGTCCCAACATCACCCCACTGCAGGAGTCCCCATCGCCCACCTCCGTGGCCGGGCTGCTATCTGCTGAGCTCTGCTGGGACGTGGGCTCCAGGGATCGCAAGGTGCCATCCTCTGACACCTGGGACTTCTCTGTCAGCTTGTCAATGCCTGGGAGTGGGGGTGGGTGGGTGTGAGGACACCTGCCAAAGGGCCCCTCTGAGAAAGCATCTGCACTGGACCCCACGAGGGCCCCCTCTTCCCTCCACCCACTTCAGCATGCTATGCCTGATCCCCCCAATCCTGCCCCTACCCAGCACCAAGCTAACCTTTCTGGGCCTCCCAATACCCCCTCCCCATCCCCTCAGCTTCCCAACTCAGCCCATGCTCTCTGCCAGAGATGGGATAACATCCCAGAGACCCTGCCCATCCCCGAACCATGCTGGCACCCACACCCGCCCCTGCCACTTGCCAGGCCAGACCTGGGGTGGCCACCAGGCTGGTCTTGAGAGTGCCAGGCTCAGCGGGGGCAGCAGGGTGGGAGCCCTCCATAGAGGCGCCCTCCTGTGAGCCAGTTCGGGACAAGGGCTCAGGTGCCCGCCGACGCCTTTGCAAGGCCTTGTGGATAGCAGGGGGGTCGGTGGGCAGGTTGGCCAGCTGGTGGAAGACGCTGCGTTTTCGGATGATGGCGTAGACCAGGTTGGAGTTGCCTGTAGGGAGGGAGCATGCCACACGTCAGGGAGGCCCCCTTGCCTCTTTCTCCACCTGGGCAGGTTTCTGGGAGGGGGAGTTTAGAGGACAGGAGGGTGTCTAACCCCAGGGGTAGGAGATGGTACAGGGCACCCAAGAGAGAAGGCTAGAGAAGGGCGGCACCTGGCGGCATGTGCAGCTATGGTTACACCAGGGCGTTACATTGCTGGAGAGAAGCCTCTGGGCCGAGCGCCCCCGGTGCCGCTCCCCAGTACCTTCCAGACCCCCTCGCAACCCAGCCCACTAAGGGGCAACACTGGCAAAGTGGGGCAGGCCCAGCATGTCAGAGTCCACACCAAGCCAGCTTTTCTTTACTTTGACTGTGTCCCTGAGCCAGGCCACCAGGGAGGACAGACGACATGGCCCGTGCCCCGCGCTGACTTCCCTCGGCTCTGGGCCCTCAAGGCCCCATCCAGCAATCTGGTCCTGCCTCTCGCCACACTGTCCTGCTCCCAGTTCAACATCTCCCCCCAGGGCCTTTGCATATGTTGCACCCCCGCCACCATACAATGCTTTCTCTGCCCCACCCCACCTCCATTCATCCCTCACAGATCAGTGGAAATATTATTTATTTTGGAAATAATAGTAACTGCTAATATCTAAGTCACCAGACACTGTGCTAAATGCTTTTTGGGGGCGATTACTTAATCCTCCCAACACCCTCAGACGTAAGGACTCCACCACTGTTGGTATAACTATCTTCCAGCCGAAAACACTAACGCTCAGAGAGGTTATGTGCCCATAGTCACGGAGTTACCAAGTGGCAAGACCCTCACTACACCGGGCAGGGTGGCATTGACAACACCCATCAGGGTCCTACCTCTCTGAGCTTCCCTTTCATCAGATTTAAGGTGACTTGTCTGTCTGGGTGACCATCCGTTTAAAGCCTCTCTCTGTGTCTTAATCCCCAGGTGCGAGCTGCACGGGGCAAGGAGCATTCCGCTTTGTTCTCCCCTGCATCCCCTGCACCCAGCACTGGCTTGGCTATGTAGCAGATGCTCAATAAATACATGTTGAACAAACGGGGTTGTGGGGGGCAATGCAGAGGGTTCTGCCCTCCTTAGACGGACGGGAAGGTGTCCTTGCACACGACCCGTCCTGATTCCCGCCCCTGAGGCCAGACCAGGGCTCGGGCTGCCACCTCACCATCGAACTGGTACTGGATGATGTTGTTGAAGGCCTCCAGGAGGAAGAAGACCAGGTGGTGGTTCTGGGCAGCAGAGAAGAGGAACCAGGTGGTGGAGAAGGCCTCCAGCAGGTGCAGCAGCTTATTGGCAGCCACCATGGATAAGCTCTTGAGGTAGGGGGACACTGCAGGGGAGGAGCCAGCTCACTCCTGGGCACCCCCCCCCCACCCACCCAGCCATCCCTGCACACCCTCGACTTGTGCAGGACACCATGCTCCCGCTGCCAAACCCTCCCTGCCCCGTGCTTGTAACATCCCCCACAAAGCCCAGAACACCAAACCCTCAGAGGCTGAGGCCACACGGGCCATGCTCTGCAGAGCTCAACGAGGCCATGTGGGCCCCACCCTTGTCCCTCTACCATGTGGACAGCCGAACCGTTTACTGAGCTACTCACACACAGCATCTTGCCCACTCCTCCCCACACTTCTGAAAGGGGGGGCCGGGTGCAGAGGGAACCAGCCCCATTTCAAAGACTAGGAAACTGAGACTCAGACAGGTTTATAAACTTGCCCAGAGTTCCCAGTTATAAAATGACTGGGCAGGTTTGGCTCAGGTCATGATCCTGGAGTCCCGGGATCGAGTCCCGCATCGGGCTCCCCGCTCAGCGGGGAGTCTGCTTCTCCCCCTAACCCTCCCCCCTCTCAGGTACTCTCTCTCTCTCTCTCTCATTCTCACTCTCTCAAATAAATAAATAAATCTTTAAAAAAAAATGACTGGGCAGGGAGACAAACTCCGGATCTTTAAGTCTTTCTGGAATATCAAACTGGGATCACAATACTCCACACATAGTCAGAAACTTATTTTTTGGCAGAGCCTGAGAGAGGGAACCCGAGATGAGACATGTGTGGACGGCCTGAAGTCTCAAAGGGATCCGTGCGCTTCCTTGTCTCACGTCTCCCTCCCTGCCCAGGCTGGGGCAGAGACAGCAGCTTTCCTGCTCAAAAATGCATTCTCAGAGCCAGCTACACTTAACCAGTGCTCAGTTAAAATGTGTGAGTCGGACCCAGCAAGGAAACCAGGAAGGGAAGGCAGGGTTCTGGCCCCAGAGCTCACAGCGCAGCTAGAGCTCTGTCCCACCAACTCTGGAGTCCGAACCACTCCCACCCAGGGCTGTCCTCTCCAAAAGATGGCCATGCTGAAGTCATCCTGCCTCAGCCCACGGCCACCCGCTTTGCTGGGCCCAGCACGCCAGCCAGCATGAGCCCCTCCCCTCGGAGGCAGCTGTCCCCAGTCCTCGCTGGAGGGTAGGGCACCTCCTGGCACCCTGAGACCATGCCATCCAAACCCACGCTGTCCAATGCAGTAGCCACGAGCCACCTGTGGCCATCCAACGCTTGAAACATAGCTAGTTCTAACTGAGATGTGCTGCATGTGTGAAACACAAGATTTTGAAGTCTGGGTGTGAAAAAGAATGTAAAATACCCAAATAATTTTTAAAGGGGGGTTATATGTTGATATGATGGTATTTTGGATAGTGTGGATTACAGAAAATGTATCATAAAATTACTGTCACCTCTTTCCCTTTCTCTTCCTTCCTTCCTTCCCTCCTACCCTTCTTCCTTCCTTCCTTCCTTAATATGCCTCAAAAATTGACCAGTACATATGTGGCTGCCATCATGTTGCTATTGGACTGGGCAGGTTTGAACCAGGGAGGCGCGGCCTATCAGCCTGTGGCCTGGCGCCACCTGGTGGTGAGCACGGGGAAGGCGGGCTCCCAGCACCCCTACCGTTGACCACGATGGTGAGCAGGCAATCGAAGAGGGGCTGCAGCCGCTGGTGACCGCTGGTGATGATCTTGTGGAATACCTGTGCCGGGAGGCAGAGGGGTGGCCATGGGGTCCCCTCCACCTCCAGACTCAGCCAAAAGGACGTCCACCATGCCCCCATGTCCTGGATGAGGGAGCCCCCTCACCACAATGAGCAGGTCTGCGTGGGTACCGGTGAAGACCGGGATGTCCATGGGCACGCGCACCGAGTAGGGCTTGTTCAGCCGCACCCCAAAGTTCCGCTCCCCGCTCAGAAGCAACAGGATGAAGACTCCAATGTGCATCAGGCCCACCCGAGCTGCAGCATGGGGTACGGGAGAAGTCACCACACGGGGTAGGCACGGGAGGAAGGAGTGCAGGGCAGGGACCCATCTCAGAAGCACTGGAAGAAGCCCTTCCTGGGAGGTCAGAGACCTGAGCCTGAGCCCCTGGGGACCCGCCCCTCTACAAGGAAGCCCCCAGGATCTTACGCCCACCCCAGCCTTACAATGATCCGCTCGGGCATCATTGAGGAAGTAGAGGATGGGGACCAGGATGTCCAGCACATCACTGCTCTTGAGCACGAAGAAGAGGAATTTCTGGAGGGAGGGAATGAACAGGTGGGCAGGGTCAGAGCGGAGACACCTCTGCCCCACCCTCTCCCCATCCCGGAGTCTCCCCAGATGCTGTCCCCATCCCTAGGCTATCCAGAGTAGCCGCTCCCCACCTCAGGGCACGCCACTGCCTGCCAGGCTGGGCCTGAGGCCAGCCCACCTTATTGAAGTCACAGAGCTTCCAGAAGAGGACCAGCAGCTCCTGGTGGAACTGGATCTTCTTGGTGGAGTTGGGCAGGTAGGTCTGGAGCAGGGGGTTGGAGAGCAGCCGGGCTATGCCCTTGAGGATGAACTGGAAGTCCTGAGTGGGAGACAGCAGGGATCTGTCCAGTCCAGCTCCCTCACAAATGCCTCCTCTCTCCCCCAGAGCCTGGTCCCACCTCTAGAGCCTGAAAGGCCCAGATTCTGTCATCAACAGCTGTCCTGAGGCAGGCCCCTCAGGAAGCTGAGTCCAGGGCAGGTCTGGAGAGAACCCCTGCCCCTTCCCCAGCCACAGGTTCCCCGCTCCCTGAGCAAGGCTGCTCCTAGCGACCCCCCACACCCACACCCTGAACCGGCCCCTGCCCATCTGGACTCCGTGTGGACGGTTGGCATCCCCCTGCCCCTCCCCATCACCCTGTCACACCAGAGATGCACTCTACTATTCTCAAAGAGCTGTCACTTACTAAGTACCTGCTACAAGTAATCCTCCCAAGAAGGCGAGGAAGCACTTACTGTCCCCACGTTACAGCAGCAGAAGTCAGAGCTCTGGGAGCCCAAGAACCTCCCCCAAGGTCACAAGACACACAACCTCAGGTCTGCCTGGCCTTTAAGTCCACTGTCCTTCCCCCCTCCAAAACCTGATATCAGAGCCACCTCCTCCTGGAAGACTGCCCAGTTATCCCTACCCAGGTGAGGCCATCAGCCCTTTTCTGCATCTCAAAACCCTCGAAGTCCTGCCATCATTATTTCACTTGGGGTGGCCAAGTCCACGGGGACCATGGTTCCTTCCTGGAGGGGTCAGGACTCCCCTTTACCCCATCTCATCTCGATCCCCTCACCCCCCTGCAAGGCCATAACCATTGTGGTGGGTGGGCATTGAAAATCCACTGGAGCAAAAACAGTGTTCCACTCACCTCCTCACGATGGATGCGGGACAGGTAGTTCACAAACAGGTTCTCGGGTCCTGGAGGCTGCCGAGAGTGGAGCCTGGGATAAGCAGGTGGCTCCACCCCTTGCCCCTACCTTGGGCCTAGGTCGTGGCAGCAGAGCCCCCTCAGACATCCCCAGGCTCACCATGAGGTGCCCACTGGGTATCCCTTGCCCAGCTCTGCTAAAGAGAGTGCCCAGAGCCTGGCAGGGCCAGCTGCCCTCCCCGCCACTCCCATCCTTACGTCCGTGTCGTCCATGGCAGTGCCTGTGGTGGTGCCGTCCACTGTGGGGCTGGTGCTGGTGGCACTGTCATGGTCCAAGGTGACAATGAGCACCTGGGCAGCCTCCTCCACCAGGGGCTCCCGATAGTCGGAGAAGAGCAGGTGGTTGTAGGGGATCCCGTAGCCCACAGGGTCATAGGCACACACGGTGTTGAGGAGGGAGGTAAACAGGGGGAGGGCGTGTCTGCGGTAGAAGAAGAACAAGGCTGTGGAGACCACCCGGCCAGCCTCCGTCCACCCCCCAGGTGGCCACATGGCAGGGTCCATCGAGCCACCCCTTCACTCGACAAGTGTTTCAGCGCTAGCCCCAGGCTGGGAGCCAGAGAGCGGAACCAGGCTCAGCCCTTCCTGAGGGAAAGAGACCTCTCCTTGTCCTGACCTGCATCCGGGGCCCGGGCCAAGGGCAGAGGAATTTATGCCAAGAGTGGGGCGGCCAGTTATGTGGGAAATCATGTCCACACCCCTTAGATTTTCCCCCAACAGCTAAAGCCTATTAAAAAAATTAAGACTATGTTTAGTGCAGTTTTAGGTTCATAGCAAAACCACGAGGAAGGAACAGAGAGATTCCCCCGTGCCCCTCCGCCCCCACCCATGCACAGCCTCCCCCGCTACTGACATCCCACAGCGGAGTGGCTCATGTGTTATCATCAACAGACCTACACGGACCCACCTCAAAGCCCATAATTTACATTAGGGTCCATTCGTGGTGCTGCACAATCTAACGACATGTCCCTCAGATCTGAGGGGCAGGTGCCCTCCCTCGGGGCTTCAAAGCAGGAGTTGGAGTACCCCAGGGAAGTGGGCTTCCCCTCAGGGAGCAGAGCACGTGCTCGGTCACCCAGTTCCCAGGCCACAGACTGACACCATTCAGAGATCTGTAAGACGTCAGGGTTCAAGCTCCTCATCTGACAGGCAAGGAAACTGAGACCCAGGGAGGTTACGTGAGTGGCAAAGCATGGCCACTTGCCCGATAATGCTGGCGAGAACAAAACAAAAGTCTCTGGCCAGCTTTGGACTGTGGCGGGCGGAGGGGGTCACCTGGCTTGCCTTCTCTTCTGGGGGAGGAAGAAAAAAGTTGGGCAGAAGGCCAGCAAACCCTGAAGGATAAGGCATGCCATGTGGGAATGAGAGTCTGGAAGGAAGAAGGTGAGCCATGACCCTCAGGGGCGCTCTCCGGTGCTTCTTGCACAGCCTTGGGCGCAGCTGGAGCTCCCGTAGCTGCTTTACGCCCTCAGTCCCCCCATGGGACACCCCCACGGCCCAGGAGCACCCCCGTGTGGGCCAGGCTTCCCCACCCTTCAGGGTGTTCATTATGCCCTCTCCCCAGTCACTCTCTATACTGCACTACCCCATACAAGCCACTTGTAGTGGCTGAGGGCTTAAAACGTGGCTGGTCTGAATTGAGAGGTGTTGTGACTGTAAACTACACAACCAGATTTTGAACACTTTGCCTGAAAAGGGAATGTAAAACATCTCAGTAATGTTGCATCTCAAATACATGTTAAATACTACTATTAGGTGTATATTGGGTTAAACGAAATATTAAAATTGATTTCACCCGTTTTTGTTTTTTTTTTTACTTTTTTCACGTCACCACTAGAAATGTTCAACTTATGTTGACATCAGCATTGTGGTTGGCATTATATTTCTACTGGACAGCACAGCTCTGGATGGAGGACCCAGGACCCAGGCACCAAGGCCCCCCAGTGGGACATTGGATCGAGCGGGCGAAATGTGCGGCTGTTAAGTTACAAGTCATCGCCACCAGGGGGAAGCACCTACCCTCAACTAAGACTCCAGGCTGGGTCGCCGCCTCTGCTCGGGGCTGCCCGGGGAAAGGAGGAGAATGGAAAGGCCGGCCAAGGGCCCCTCACCTGTTCTCTGTGGAACAGAAGAACTGCACCCACGGGTTGGTGCCACCACCGTCCGGAGCTGGGGGCAGGTACATGGCCTCAGAGAAGCACGTCAGCAGCAGCTTCAACAGCTCCATCCTTGGGGGGGCGGGTTATGGCAGGGGGTTCAGTACCTGAAGATCTCCATTCTTCTCTAGGAGGGCATGTCCACCCTGCCCCGCCCCGCCCCAGCTCAAGCCCATGAAAAGAAATGACCCCATTTTATCCCTCTCAGGCTGCTGTGGGGTCACAAGTGGACAGGGTCTCCTTGAAAGACCCCACGCACGGTTCCCTCTCTGAGCTGGGGAGTGGGGGGCAGGCCTGGAGTCCAGCTACACTGTGGGCTCTGGGTCTAAGCAAAACTCACCGGTTCACGTCATGGATGTAGTTGGGCTGGGGGGAGTGAGCAAAGCCCACGCCAGCCTCCCAGATGTATTCACAGCTGTCCAGGGAGTGGACGTCCTCCGCCGAGTCCTGGGGACATGGTTTGGGAGTGGTCAGGCTTGGGGTGGCCAACCCAAGCCCCCCACTGTTGTCCCTGGGAGCAGAAACCCTCATATTCTCCTAAAGACAGACCCTCAAAATGCCCCAGGTGATAATGCACAAGGGAAGAAATTAATGTTCTCAACCTCTTGAAAGCTAATTTTTCTTCTCTGGTTTTTTTTACTTGCTCAGTCCAGCTTGAGGCAAGGAGAGAGAGATAGGGAGGGAGGGGAATGGAATTGGGTGCACCTGGTGGTGCTTGGGGATGGGGGGGCAGAGAACACTAAAGGTCGAGTCCATGGGCCCACAGGAAGTGAGCAGGCCAGACTTCCTGTGTCCAAGCCCCACACGCCCATCCACTGCCCAGGCGAGGACAATGGGTGCTTGTGCCCAGACGCCCGGATACAGGGGGCAGGGCCAGGCACCAGCTGGCTCCTCTCCAGCTGTGCCGGTCGGTCACGGGCCCCTCCCCAGACCTGCCCAGCTACAGAGCAGCCCCTCCCCTGGCGGGGTCCTGCCCAAGGGAACTTCAACCAGCCCCAGCCCAGGACCAGAGCGCTCCCCTGCCTAGGGGTGGGAGACTGGGGGGCTCTCACCACAGTGCTCCTTCGGTGGCTCTGGACAGTGAAATCTGGACAGAAGAGGAGGTCGGCAACGGCCAGCAGCAGGGACTCAGCGAGGGGCCGGGCATTCTCATCATCACCCTCTCCCTGCTCAGGATACAGCACACAGGCCGCCTCAGTGGTCGCTGGCCGAGGAGAGGGGGCCCCAGGACTTGGGGGTTGGAAGGGGTTTGGATCTGGGCCCAGGCAGGCACCCATGGGCAGAGGGATGAAGGAAGAGACCGAAGGAAAAGGAAGGAGGATTCCCAACCACCCCGAACCTCCTAAGGCGGAAGGGGGCAGGAAGAGGTGTGGGGCTGGGACCCAGGAAGAAACCTCCCCCGACTGGAAGGAGCCAGGCCAGGACCCGAAAACTCTAGAGCCTCGGCCCTGCTGGGACTCCCTGGGGTCCTGCCCTCGGCCAGTTGCCTAGAGATAAACCAGGGAGGGAAAGGGCAGGCAGGGAGAGTGCCCAGCAGCCCTGCCCCCATGTCTGCCCGGCAGAAGGGGCAGACATCCGTGTGGGAGATGACCCCCTGCCTCGGCAGCAACCCCCATTCCCCTTCCCCTGCACTTCCCAAACCCCACAAGAGATTTGGAGGAACGTGATGGGCCCTGAATGGGTTGTCTCCCTGTCACCACATCACCTCCCACCTCCCACCCGGCCCCACAGCCAGGCCCACAGACCCCTGCTCGCCCTGCCCCGGGCACTGTGGACCAGAAGAAGCCCCTCCAGTCAGGGTCCTCAAAGATGTAGGGCAGCACGCGGGTGAGAAGCCGGCTGCAGTTCAGGACAATCTGCTTCTCCTTCTCCGAATGGCAGCCGCTCTCGGCTCCCTGCACCAGCTTCTCCACAGCCTGTGGGGACGGGCAGAGGGGCACGCTAGACGGGTGGGGCATGGGGGCCTTGCGCTTAGGGTCAGGATGGGCACCCCAGGCTTCAGAGGGGGAGAGGCAGACAGGGCCATCCAGCCCAGGGGGGACGGGAAGTGGGTCAGAGAGCAGCCTAGAGCATCACCGGAGAGCCCAGCCCACAGCTCACTGGCTGAGACCTCACTAAGTGACCACCTGTCAGAGCCTGTTTCCTCATCTGTTAAACGGTGACATTAACAGGACCCACCACACAGGGTGAGCTGAACGAGCTGATGTGCGGACGCCTTCACAGAAAGTGGCTGCCAGGATCCCCTCCCCGCAGAGCCCAGCCAGTGGGGAGACGTGGGTACAACCTCGAGACTGCCCAGACCTGGACAGGGGGGACGTCGTGGGGGCCTGCTCTCTGGGTCCACAGGGCTGGGCCAGCTTCAGCCTCCCCGGGAGGGTGGGGAACGGCTCGGCAGGGAGTGGCAGCGAGGGGCAGAGCACCTTAAGCTCACCTTGTAGCACAGAGTGGCCAGATTGGAGGGTGACTCCTCCCGCACGGCCCGGATCTCTGCTGCTGGTACCAACGCGAAGACATCCTGCACTGAGGTGGCCGTGTCTGCCCAGAACTGGTCCCAAAAGGCATCATCGGTGGCTTCCACAGGCTGGGGGGGGGGGGTGCGGTTTGGTGTGTCCAGAGTTGTTATATAATCTCTTGCCAACAGGCCTACAGTTTGCCCAGTCTATAGACAAAGGAGCCCCAAAAGGGAAGCCATGGCCCCCTATTCCATCTCTGCTGGTGCCCAGGGGCCCTCCCATGGGAGGAGGGGAGAGGGAGAACATCCTTCAGCCATTGTGAGCCCCTGCTGGTACAGGCAGGCTGGAGACACTTGGCACAGATGTCAGAGGTCAGCCAACCACTGAGTTCGGCAACCAAAGCCTAACTCAGTCCCCGAGGGACAGGGTAACTCACCGTCCTCCTCTGGTTGGGCCTCCCTACCTGGGGACCTCCCCAGACCATGCTGCTAGGTCAAGTGCTGGGGGCCAGACCCAGACTGTGCCCCTCCCCAAAGGAAGAAGACAGGGGATATGTGCTCATTTCACCTAAGCCCAGCCTCACTGTCCCCACCTCACCCCAGCTTCTACCCTCTTCCTGCACACCCAACAGATGCCAAGTCTAAAGAAAAGAAGCCAACCCCCACGGCTCTCTGTCTGCACCCGCTCCTCCCAGTACCCACTGCTAGTGTCGCTGTTCAGGCCACTCTTGCCAGGGCCCCACCTCGAAGTTTACGTCCTCAACCCTGCCTGCACACCGCCTCCAGCCCATGTTCAAGGCACAGCACCAAAGCCACTGTTCCCTCTACAAAGACCTTTGGGGGTCCCTGCTGCCTGCAGGATTGGGCCAGACCATCAGCCAAGATCTTACCTAACATACCTACATGCATGCACACGTGTGCGCACACGTATGCACACATACACACTGCCCGTGGGCGCGCACACACCTGTATTTGCTATCCCTACAACACAACACTGTCACATGCAGTGTTCGGCATGCCCTCTTCCCCGCGTGCCCACCCTTCTGATCCCAAAGTCCCACCAGTCCTATGGAGGCCACACACTGTAAGCACACTTGTGCCTTTTGAATCCTGTGGGCAGTTGCATAGGGAACCAATCTGAATCGTAAGCTCCACTTCTAGAAATCCTTCCCAAGGAAATGATCAGAGATGTGCACATATAAGGAGGTTTGCTGATGTGTTATCGTTGATAATAGCGAGAAGTTGGAATGAACCTAAATAACCAACAAACAGGAAACACTCAAAAAGGTAAGGCCCTTTTGGGTGCCTGGGTGGCTCAGCTGGTTAAGCGACTGCCTTCGGCTCAGGTCATGATCCTGGAGTCCTGGGATCGAGACCCGCATCGGGCTCCCTGCCCGGCAGGGAGTCTGCTTCTCCCTCTGACCCTCCCCCCTCTCGTGTGCTTTCTCTCTCTCATTCTCTCTTTCTCTCTCAAATAAATAAATAAAATCTTTAAAAAAAAAAAAAGTTAAGGCCCTTTCGTAGAATAGAACCAACCACCAGGGCCATGTTGCCAAAGACTATTAATGAATGAAAAACGCTCATGGTACAACCCTGTGTGAAAAAGATAAGATATAACACTAACTACAGGATTGTCACACTCTTTGCTAAATTATATAAAAACCTAGACGAAAATGACAGAACGCTCATAGCGATTCTCTCTCTGGATGGTTACTTTTTTACTTATGTTTTTCTGCAAGCATGCATATTTACTATTTTTTCCTTTTGAATAGTTGCCTGCTGAGAGGCCAGGGTGCCCAAGGCACTCTTCCAAACAGCAGCTCCTGCAAGAGACCCCAGTTGCTCCACCATCCTGGCCTCCTCCCTTCCCTGAAAGGGTCGATACAGGCCCCGCTACCACACAAATCCACATACAGTGTGCTTGACTCTGACCATCAGAAAAAAAAATATACATCTCGTTTAAAAATAACTCTGTTCTGGGGCGCCTGGGTGGCTCAGTCGGTTAAGCGTCTGCCTTCGGCTCAGGTCATGATCCCAGGGTCCCGGCATCGAGCCCCGCATCGAGCCCCGCATCGGGCTCCTTGCTCAGCGGGAAGCCTACTTCTCCCTCTCCCTCTGCCTGCCGTTCCCCCAGCTTGTGCTCTCTCACTCTCTCTCTGTCAAATAAATAAATAAAATCTTTTAAAAAATAATAATAACTCTGCTCACTGAAGCCCCTTCTTCCCAGAATTCTCCCAGAGCTCTGGACCGACAGGTTTGCGCCCACCTTGGAACCCTGTCCCTCACCCTCAGTCACTCATCATTGGCCCTGACTCCAGGGGTCTCAATGCACTTGCCTCGAGGTCCCATGAGCCCACCGGCCCTTCTTCCCTGACCCTGCAGTCGGGGCAGATGGCAGATGCTCAGCCAATATTTGTTCAGGGAAAGGTTGTCATTCGTCCTAGAGATCCCTTCAACCCAGTCACAGGGCATGCCTGAGCACCAGTGGGGCTGTACAAACTCAGGGCTGGGTTTGAAAGTGTCACCGAAGTCCGGGTGTAACCTCGCCCACTCCGCAAGCAATGCCCCCCCTTCAAGCTACAGGGCAGCAAGTGGCCGTGGCCCCCAGGACAGGCCTGGTACCAGGGCCTGCTCGGGCCCCAGAACTGGTAGAGCAAGTTGCTAGGGGAGAAGAACAAAGGCCAAAGGAGGGGCCTAGGGCTAGGGTTTTCTAGCCTCAACCAAGGCAGCCCTCTGACAGTCCCTGGGGTCAAGGGGCACCACCCGCCAGTGTGGGGGGCCAGGGCTGGTGTGGGGAAGGACATCCTAGAAAACCTATGAGCGCCTCCGGAAAGTTCCCCGTCTCTGACACTTTCCCCCCCTTTCCCGGTAGCCATTACCCCCTTAAAGGGGCAGAAACTCATCTGAGCACCAGTGGACTCGGCCTCTGGCTTAGTTCATCAGGCAAGTGTCACCTGGGGACTGAATTCCAAACGAGGGGAGAGACTTAAAAGGAGAATTAGGAGGCCCCCAGCTAGCCCAGCCGAGAAGCAGGCTGAGTCCCAGCCCTCCAGCTCCCACTGTGGCCTGGACGCTTCAGCTTGGTGCCCATCACCTGGCTATACCAGGCTGGCCTGATGCTCCAAGGTGTTGGCTGGGGTCACTGGAGCCCCTCGGGCTTCTGAGGGGAGAAACATGCCTCAACTCCTGTCCCAGTTCCCCAAGCTGGGCCCCACACAACCCAAGGAAGCTTCTAAAATCCAAGCCAGTTTGTTTGAAAAGAGTATTTTTGCCGCAGACGGGAAGGCCCATGCTGCCAGGGCATAGGGACTGAGCCACCCTGGTGGGAAAACAGATATTCTTACCCCACCTTTGCTAGCACCTGCTCAGGCCAGACCCCCCACCAGCTTGGGAGCCCAGCTGCAACATCTGAACTTTCTGGGGGTTGAGGGGGAGCAAAGGACCATAAGTGCTCTAGCCTGCTAAGGGTGACCTGTTCGGGAGGACGGTGTCTCCACAGCATTCACACGCACATACATGTGCACACATGTACACATGGACCCACCAGGTCTCCCCCTGCCTATGGCAGAGAGTCTCCAAAAAGGCAGATCTAAGAGAGGGTCCCACCCACCCCAGGAAAGGTCCGGGTAACACAGCCAAAACTACTAAGCCTCAGGACAGGGTCAGGCCTAGCCCAGGGCAGGAAGAAAACAGGATGCAGGGCAGGAAGGCAGGGAAGGCGCAGTGGCGAAGGCCCAGCAGCGGCAGCTCACACCCAGGCCATAGGAAAAGGTTCTGGGTCGGCTTGTGTACTGCCCAGAACAAACATCTGTGTTCGTGGCAGAGCCTCTAAGGGTCTGAGACTGGAGGACACCCTGTGGACAGTTCGCCTGAATCTCCTTGGAGACACTGAGTGGCAAGGTCTGGAACGACCATCTGGGATCTGGTCTTCACTCCTCTGCTGCCCAAGCCAGGTCACTACACAGGACAGGAGGCTTTGGGGTCTTTCCCTCCAGCCAGCCCAGGTCCCTTCCCACTATAGGGCCCCTGTGGTCTCTGGAGGGAGATCCAGCCTGGTATCTGGTTCCAGTGTTGACCCAAGCCAACTCCCTGTCCTCAGCTGGGAAACGGAACAGCACCATCTCAGTCAGCTCCATAACAGGGCTGCAGCCAGGGAAAGCTGGAGACACACCGTATTTTGGGGAGAGGGCCAGCGCAGGTAGGAATCTAGTCCACCCAGATCCTTTGGGACCCAACTGAGCTCGTCCTGCTGGCCTGGCAAAGGACCCTGCCAGCTGAGCCAACAGCCCATAGTTCATTCCTCCAACAACGTGTTTCCTTCCCCAGGTAGGTAAACATGGGAGCCTCCCTCCTGCCTCTCCCTGTGGCCCCACATTGAGGGGCTGGCCCACCTGCTGCCCACAGACCTAGAAGCCCCATCCCAAAAAAGCCAAGTACTAGAACTAACCAGGAGCCATTAGGGAGGTGGCAAGAAGCAAAGTCTGGTTTCTATCAAATGCCTCTTAGCTGGGACTAGACTCTCCAGAGGCCCTGGGCATTTGCCAGGCACCTGACCTTTCTCTTGTGGGAACGAGAGAGTGTAGGACCAGAGGTCTGGCCTCTGGAGCTGTGATCACCTGGCTGTGGGAGGACGGATCCCTCAATCCCACTCTAACTGCCAAGAGCAAGAGAGAGCCCTGGGGGTAAGGGTAAGAGGAAAGTCCCAGATGGCAGCAGGTCCTGACTCCCTTGAAAGTGGGGGACCTGGGGAGTCAGGGCTGGGCATCTCTATGGCCAGAGCAGCCTGGTTCTGGGGTAAGGACAGAAGGGGTAGGCAGGGAAGGAGCTGGGTCCTGTGTGTTGGGGGCAAGAAGGTGGCCTCTGTGCCACTTGTAAACTCAGGGGGAGTGTACTGGTTGAAAGACACCCCCAGGCCCCACATCAGCCATTCAAAGACAACCTGGAGGGTTCTCAGCCCTGACTCAGGGAACAGAGGGTACCTGAAAACACAGCCATCCCCACTGCCGGGCCTCAGAGGAGGAGCCCCATAGAGTGGTGGTCCCCAGCTGGGAAACGACTCCACGGGCCTGGGAACAGGTCCCTTTGCTAGGCTGCAGCGCTGCTCGCCACTCTTTGCATGTTCTCAGGAAGACCTGGGCCTTCCCTGGCTGTGGGCATCGACCTGGGCCCAGCGAGGCCGCTGCCACCGCGCACCAGCTGTTTCCCCGACCCGGTAGGCGCCGGCCCGGCTTTGTTTGCATTGAATCAGCCGGGTCTGTGCGTCCAGGAATCGCGGGCACCGAGGGGCAGGGAGGGGAGCAAGGAGGCGGATGGGTGGGTGGGGGCGGGAGTGGGGGTGAAGCTGAAGATGCGGGGCTGGAGGGGCTGGAGCGGGGGGGGGGGGGGGGGGGGAGGCGGCGGGACAGGTGGCGGACAGCGGCGATGCTGGCTCAGGGAGTAGGCACACGTCAGCCTAAGGTGGCAGCAGCGGCTGCGGGTAGAGGGATATTCCCGGGAGGGGAGGCTGGGGGTGAGGGGCTAGGGTTAGGGGATGAAGCCCTGGGATACAGGACAACGGGTCCCGCTCCGGCCCTGGCTTCAGCGTCACCTTGCAGGCCAGTCGGTCCCCCATCTCCTCACGAGCCAAGTTCGCGCAGCCCCCCCGCCCCGCCGCCGGCTCTGCCCAGCCCCCAGCCCGGCAGGTGGGTGGGGAGGCCGGGGCCCCAGTCGCACCTGCGTCTTGGTGGTGAGCTGGATCACCGCCTTTCGGAAATTCAGCTTAGAGTCGGCCGACCCCATAGCGCTTGAGCCCGCTCTGGCCGGGCTCCGGCCCCGACTCCCGCCCCGGCCCCGGCTCGGGATCCAGCTCCAGCTCCGCGGCCCCCGCTGCTCTCGCAGAAGAGGAGCCGCGGACCCCGCCTGCCGGCCAGGCGTCGGCCCCGCCCCCGCTGGGCTCCGCCCTCACGTGGCTCCGCCCCCGCACCTGCCGCGCCCGGCACCGCCCACTCCAGGCGCTGGGAGTCTGCCCCTGGGATCCGCTACGGCAGCAAGCCAGGCGTCCTTCTCAGCCCAACCCCGTGCCTCCGCGCCCTCTCTTCTGCGTCGGAGTGCTGTCCCCGTTACATCTCTCCCATTTCCACTCAGCCCCCAGGGCCCGCAACCCTCCCAGCCTCCCGTTCCCCGCCCCCATCCCCACCATTGGTCCCCACGCCACTCTGGGCCCACACTTTCTCAGCCAGCCCTCTCCCTCAGAGTTTCTTCCTTGTCAATCCCTGTCCTCCCGGTTCCTTTTTTTTTCCCCCTGAGCATCTGCTTTCTTGGTTGCCTTTTATTGACCTGTCAAACCCACATCACCAGACAGCCCCGCTGTTTTTTTCCAGCCACAAGCCCCAGGCTCCAGGAAAGCAGCTCCCTGTGGTCCGATGAGAGTGGGAGGTCCCTCTGGGTCCCACAACTCCTTTCTGGCCAACTACCTTCCCTGAAAATCCGTTTAAGTCCAACTATTTCAACAAATGTGTTGCAGGACTGGTATTTACTAACACTGTGTCAAGGACAGGGACCTAGGGGTCTTAAGTCACAAGGCCTGCCCTTGATGAGCCATTAGTTTGGGAAAGAAACAAGGAAAGAATTAACCGTGTTTCAGCTGAGTAAGTCTTTATAGAAGGAAATTAATGTTAATGATGATGATATGAGGACAATATCTCTAGCCCAACAAAAATCTACCTCTGAGGTAAGTACTATCCCATTTTACAGCAGGGGAAACGGAAGTTCAAGGCAGTTACGTTACTTGCCCAGAGTCACACAACTACTAAAGAACAAAACCAAAAAGGCAAATCCAACTCTGGCTCCAAAAGCCGCTGCACTTTCACGATATCATCTTGCATACTATGTCTGGAAGCTTCTGGCAATCCTAGACACTTCAAAAGAAAGTGGCATTTAGCTTAAATAGGAAATCCACAGGTGAAAAGTGAGGGATGCACCATCTCTCCAGTGAAAGGGTGGTAGGAAGGCAGGGTAGGACAGGCATGGAGACAGGGAACAGGGGGGCAGGGATGTTGCCCTGTCACTGAAGGAGTAGACTACACAGGATAGTTCTGTCCTTACTCCAGAGGTGGGTTTTCCCTGCCCTGGATGAAATCCTGGGCAGGCTTCATGGCTTTTCTAATCGCTCCAAGAAAACGAATAATGTCTTTATTTGGCATTAAAAAATAATAATAAAATCCAGTCCCCTCTACAAATCGCCCAACCTAAGTCCAGGCCAGAGAGACATTAAAAATTCAGAATTTTAGTCATCAGGGAAATGCAAATTGAAACCATAATGTGATAATTATTACATACCTATTAGAATGGGTTAAAAAAAAAACACAACAATACCAAATACTGGTGAGGATGGGGAGCATTTATATTTTCTTATAAAGTTAAATATACAATTCCCACATATCTCAATAATCCCAGTCATGGTATTTATCTAGGAAAAATGAAGGCATCTAACCATACAAAAAGCCTATGTAATGCTTATGGCAATTTCATTTGTAATCACCAAAGTGTGGAAACTACCCAAATGTCCATCATCTAGTGAATAAACAGATTGGGGTTCACCCATACAATGGGACTAGTATTTAGTGACAAAAAAGAACAAGCTACTGATACAAGCAGCAACAATGTGGATGAATCTCAAAAGCACAGTGCCAGACACAGAAGGCAGCGTACTGTATTATATCATTTATGTGACATTCTGGAAAAGACAAAACAGTGGAACAGAAAACAAGTGATGGCCTTGGGCTGGGGGTAGGATGAGAGACTGACTATGAAAAGTTATGAGGAAACTTTTTGGGGTGATAAAAACAGTCTTTGCTATGATTGTGGTGGTGGTTTCATGACTGTATCATGTTTTGTTTTGTGTTTTTTTTTAAGATTTTTATCTATTTGACAGAGAGACACAGCGAGAGAGGGAACACAAGCAGGGGGAGTGGGAGAGGGAGAAGCAGGCCTCCCACTGAGCAGGGGGCCCGATGCAGGGCTCGATGCAGGGCTCGATGCGGGGCTCGATCCCAGGACCCTGGGATCATGACCTGAGCCAAAGGCAGATGCTTAACGACTGAGCCACCCAGGCACCCCGTGACTATATCATGTTTGTTGAAATTCATATAACTATACACCTAAGAGGGGTGAATTTTATGGTATGCAAACTATACCTCAATAATTTTGCCTTTAAAAGGACAAAAACCAAGAGCAGGTGCTAACTGGTCATTTCGAGAGAGTAATTGTGAGCCCTTTGGCCTGCGCAGCACTCAGAGCCATTTCAGGGATTTGCAACCAGGAACTCCAAGTGGCACCGAGATATTACTGGTCATCCATGGACCTTGCTCTTCCCATCAGCTTTCATGGGATGGATTTAAATGAGTCCATTTATCTTCATCCAACCTCAGAAGGTCTTCTCCCATTCACTGGGCATTATGCTCCTCAGGAAATCTTAGCGTCCATCTCCAGGAAATCTTACAAGGTCCCTGGGCACTCTTGCCCCCATAGGATGGGAAAAATATTAATATCGTCTTAAGGAATGTGACTGCTAATACATCTAGGAAATGGAAAAATACCCGTTTATCCCCACCACCTGTTTATTGTCTCCAAGTGAAACTTAACATCCTCCCTAATCCCAACGATTGTTTTTTAAATGCTGCTGGTTATTGTTTAGTGCTTACTGAAGTGTATACAGGGAAGATGGCCTAATGACTGGACTTTGCTCTAAAATACTGCAGCAAAGGGGAGCCTGGGTGGCTCAGTTGGTTAAGTGTCTGCCTTCAGCTCAGGTCATGATCCCAGGGTCCTGGGATTGAGCCCTACATCGGGTGCTTCGGGCTCCCTGCTCCTCAGCAAGCCTGCTTCTCCCTCTCCCACTCCCCCTGCTTGTGTTCCTTCTCTTGCTGTGTCTCTCTCTATCAAATAAATAAATAAGTAAATAAATAATCTTAAAAAAATAAAAAATAAAATACTATAACAAAGAAAACAAGACAAAGAACACAAGCAAGATGAGGCAGATGTGACAGAATCTTGGTCATTGTCAAATCTGTGTTGAGCATGTGGAGATTCATTGTACTGTGTGCTCCTACTTTTGTGTGTGTGCTTGAAAACTTATATAGTTAAAATTTTTGAGGAAAAAGACTGATTTATATAGGAAAAATAGTAGTAAAACAGAGCTTTTGAACGTTTAAAGAAATTAATTATCCTTATTAATTTGGAGATTCCCTAGTAGGTTCTTAGCTATGATTTCCTATGTGGAAACTATGGTATGTCCTCCTTTTATGCCCAGTGTAAAGGAACAGTCCCTGTCTGTGGTTCCTAGAGCCCCTTATTTCTGAGTTCAACCATCAATTATACAAGAAACATTAACTCAGCACCTGCTAAGGGCCACATACCTTGCAAGGTGCTAGGGCCTAGGCTACAAAGGCAAGTTCCTACTGCCAAGAGAGAGCAAACATACAGGCAAGAGAGAGTGCCTTGGGGTCAAGAGTGGAGTCTGTCCAGGGCCCTGGCAGGGAAGGAATGGAGGAATGGTTACCAGAATCCAGAGGAAGAGAGCCCAGTTGTAAGAGAGGGCCGAAAGGAGCAGTGACCTCACAGGGTCTGGAAGGGAGGGACCCATGGGATGGATACCCCACCTTCACTGTTCTCCTGAACCCCAATTGCCCACTGGTGTTTCCCATCAGTAGACTCTCAGAAAGCAAAAGGGCAAGGGAGCCCATTGTTGCTGCGCACAAAAGCTTCGGCGTCCGGGCATGGAGCAGACAGAGACGATGGAAAAAGAGCTGAATAGGCACACGGAACATGTAGGCACACGGAACATGTCCCATACCCCTATCCCATAGGAACCACAGACAGGTACGAGGAACACGCAGAAGTAAGGCCCGGGAGCGCAGAGAGCCTGGTTTGCCCGGAGAACAGAAAGACCAGCTTGGGCTGAAATGTAGAGAGACAAGAGATAAAGCAGGAGAGGCGGGCCAGGACCGGACCATAAAGGGCTGCATACATCCTGTTAAAGAGCTTTTTATCTCCCTCTATGAGCAATGAGGAGCATCTGAAGCAGGGGAATAATGTCGTCGGATGTCATTATGTCTTGGCAAAGTCACTCCAGCTGCTGCAGGAAAGATAAAGTGAACCCAACACTGGGAATCCAGCTGAGGTGGGGGGGTGGCAGGGGTGAGAGATGACCAGGGTTGAGCCAGGCAGTCACAGGTGGGATGGAGAGGAAGAACGTAGGTGATGTCTCCAGGTGGAATTGTGGAACTTGCTTGTCAATTTGATGTGTGTTCCAGGTGGGACAACCTCCCACCAAACATGATATACAACAATAACCATTTTATTGTAAATTCTGTGGTCAGTAATTCAGATAGGACCCAGCTGAGGTGGCTTGCGTCTGCTCCACAATGTCTGCAGCCTCAGCTGAGAAGACTAGAAGGGGTAGGGGAGGGTTCGCTCAGAACATCTGGGACCTGGAATCATCTGGAGGCTTCTTTACTCATGTATCTGATGCCTGGGCTGGGAGGACTCAAAGGCTGGACTCAGCTGGGGGTGAAGATGGTAGCCCCAACATGCAACTTCTACATGCAGCTTGGGTCTCTCACAGCTCTGAGATGGAGTGTCCCTGAGGGTGCATACAAAAAGAGAGTGTCCAGGAAGAAAGAGGAGGAAGCTGCATGACCATTTAGTACTGAGCCTGGGAATAACATTTAAAGTCACTTCCACCATACTCTATTAGTCAAAGCAATCACAAGCCCACCAGGTTCAAGGAGAGGGAACCTACACCCACCTCCCCACTGGAAGAAGTGTCAAAGGAGTCGGCGCCATGTTTAAAACTGCGACACTGGGGCTC